CAGAGGTTGATTACCTGTGCAGATGTTTCTTACCTGTGCAGATGTTGCTTACCTGTGCAGATGTTGACTACCTGTGCAGATGTTGACTACCTGTGCAGATGTTGACTACCTGTGCAGATGTTTCTTACCTGTGCAGATGTTGCTTACCTATACAGATGTTGATTACCTGTGCAGATGTTGACTACCTTTTCAGAGGTTGATTACCTGTGCAGATGTTGCTTACCTGTACAGAGGTTGATTACCTGTACAGAGGTTGATTACCTGTGCAGATGTTGATTACCTGTGCAGATGTTGATTACCTGTGCAGATGTTGACTACCTGTGCAGATGTTGACTACCTGTGCAGATGTTGATTACCTGTACAGAGGTTGATTACCTGTACAGAGGTTGACTACCTGTGCAGATGTTGACTACATGTGCAGATGTTGATTACCTGTGCAGATGTTGATTACCTGTGCAGATGTTGACTACATGTGCATATGTTGACTACCTGTGCAGATGTTGATTACCTGTGCAGATGTTGACTACCTGTGCAGATGCTGACTACCTGTGCAGATGTTGACTACCTTTTCAGATTTTTCTTACCTGTGCAGATGTTGACTACCTGTGCAGATGTTGACTACCTGTACAGAGGTTGATTACCTGTGCAGATGTTGATTACCTGTGCTGATGTTGACTACCTGTACAGATGTTGACTACCTGTGAAGATGTTGACTACCTTTTCAGAGGTTGATTACCTGTGCAGATGTTGATTACCTGTACAGAGGTTGATTACCTGTGCAGATGTTTCTTACCTGTGCAGATGTTGTTGTCGCGGCCCGATATGGTGAAACCGACATCACAGGTGCAGCGCGTTGATCCCAGGAAGTGCGTGCAGTTAGAGGGCCGGATGGAGTAGAAGGGGGAGGAGGAGGTGGGGGCCGAAACAGAGCTGGGAGAGGGGGAAGAGGCCGAGGAGGAGGAGTAAGAAGAGGAAGAGGAGGAGGAGGAAGAGGAGGAGGATCCCGAGAGAGCGGCCGAAACAGGAAAGGAGGAGGCCGACGACGAAAAGGACGCCATGTTGGAGGTGCTGTTGAGGCCTGGAACGGAGAAGGGAAGATTTTACAAATGATCCAGAACGTGGTGGTGTCTCTGGCCTTCAATCAGCCCAAAAAATCTCAGTGAACTCCACTGGTTACCCCTAGTTACCTCTGGCTACCCATATCAAATCAAAGTCCCTGATGCTAGCCTACAAAGTGCTTAAGGGTACGGCTCCTGTCTACTTGAATCCTCTTGCAAAGGCTTATGTCACAACTCGATCACTCCGGTCATCAATGGACTGTGGTCTAGCAGAGCCTTCACCACGGTTAGGACCATCCAGACTGTTCCAAGATGGTGGAACCACCTACCAAGCACTACAAGAACAGCACAGTCCCTGTCTGTCTTCAAGAAACTCTTGAAGACCCCCCTCTTCAAAGAGCATCTCCTATCCTAACCCTAACCCGTACCTCTACCCCCCAACAACTCCTTATGTAGTCTTTCTACCTCTATCTCTATCTCACCACTGACTCTGATCAGTGTTTCTCCTCTGTATAGCTTATCGTCATAGTGATGATAAATGGAATATCGTGTCTACTCTGTAAGTCGCTTTGGATAAAAGCGTCTGCCAAATGCAGAAACATAAACGTAAACATGTGGGACTCACGTCTGCACATGGGCTGCTGGCCGCTCCACTTCAGGGACTCCAGACACACCCGGGTCCGGGGGCCAATCAGCTCGTAGCCTGGCCGGCAGAGGAAGTGGACCTCGTGGCCCACGCCGAACACCCGGCCCAGCCGCCGCCCGTGAGGAGGGGGCTCGGGTTTGGGGCAGGAGACTGGAAACAAAAAACACTCATTTATCCTCACATAAATGAGATAATCAATAATCAAAGTCAAACGCAATATCTCTGAGAGACGGCCTTATCGTAAGACCATCATTCCCCGTCACAACAAAGAGGTCTGATATATGAAGAGTGAAAATACACATTGAGGCATCCGTCCATTTTCAAAAAGATACTCTGCACTTTTACATAAATGAATCCACAACCTATCTCAGTTTGGATGAGAAACCTGATTTATTTTTTGATAAATCAGGTTTCTCAAACATGTTTTTGAGCAGAACCGATCACAGAGTGCAAGTCGTCGCTCAATAAATAGCGACCTGATTTAAAACGAGAACAAAAAAAAAATCAAAATTTGCTGTTTTTTTTCAACTCTCTCTTCCCTTGTCACTGTTTTAGCTGAAAAACAGCTAAAAATACTAACTATCTGACTAACTAACCCACCAGCCAGAGCCCAGATTTTTTTTGGTTTTTTAACAGTTTGTTTGATGTTGTTTGATAAGTGATGGAAGCTCCCTCTCCAACACAAAGCTTCCATGACTTATTTAACTCATTGGGTGCCAAAGACGTCTATAGACGTCAATTCAAATACAACCGTTTGCTGCCAAAGACGTCTATAGACGTCTTTTATGTTTTTCAACGAGAGTGGCTGGGGGACGATCTGCTAAAGTTTTTCCGTAAATATCGGCTTCTAGACAGAGTATGTAGTAACAAATTGACCCTCTAGGTGGCAGTGCCACTTTTGATGGGAGATGAGCATAGACTGTAGGCAAATAAGAAAAAGGTAACGGTTCTATGAGAGAACATGTCGCCGGTGAGACGCAAGTCCAGGAAGAACGGAATAAGGTAAAAACACTTTTTTTTTCCTGATGAAAGAAGAGAGTCTACTCTTTCTTTTGGTGTGTTCGGTGTTTACATAGTCATAGCACAAACTATTCTGTGGCTCTGGAAAAATCAGTCAAAATGCTCCAAAAACTCTGGCAGTATGGGACTCTCTGTTCTGAAAATGGCTGCCAGTCAATGAGTTAAAAAGAGAAAACATCATCTGAGAGCTTCAGAGTGGACGTGACTCCACTGGGCAACTCGAGGTTCTTCACCGTTTTGTCCGGTTTTAAAGATGGCCATGGTGCTGTTGTGGAGGGCGGTCATCTTCTTCTTGAGGGACCGGAGGCCCTGCTGGTAGGAGGTTTCGTGCACGGCGAGCATCTTCTCCACCTGCCTCAGAGAGTTCAGCAGGTCGTGGGTGGAGGGGCACTCCTGTGGGAGGAACAGATCGTTAGACATATTTATATATACAGTGGGGGAAATAAGTATTTGACCCCTTGCTGATTTTGCAGGTTTGCCCACTTACAAAGAATGCAACGATCTATAACTTTAATCATATGTACATTCTAACAGTGAAAGACAGAATCCCAAAGAAGATTCTAGAAAATCACATCATATGAATTTATAAAAATTGATAACCATCTGATGAGGAAATATAAGCATTATTTGTAAGTGGGAAAACCTGCAAAATCAGCAAAGGGTCAAATACTTATTTCCCCCACTGTATATATATTTTATTTCAACACCATTGCCTTGGTCGGAAAAGGATGAAAGTGCTCCCTCTATCATGAATGTTGATCTTTCCCTCGAGGTGAGGAATTAAAATGATATTTTGATCTTCTTCATGTTAGAGGGGTTGTAGCAGCCCGGATTTTAATTTTTTTTTACAAAAAACCTGAACAATAAAGTTGCCAAAACATTACGTACAAAGTGAAAAAGGACAAAATGAAGGATTCAGATGAATTCAAGTTAGTGGTAACAGAAAAGAGAAGTTCAGAGTTTACCAACTGTCCCCATGTTTCAGGTTATGGCTGTTTTATTAAAAAAAAACAACTCCTTTGAGGTGGAAATGAGACGAGAACCAGTTCAACCGAGAGTTTCAGCTGGGCACAAACCTGCATTTTTAAAAATCTATTGATTTGATTTTGTATTATTTGTATTATTTTTTTTTTTGGGTGACTCATTGAAGGACGTTGAGCTAAAAAACAAACAAACTATCCAATAGAATAAGATTTGCATGTCTGTATTACAGAGGGTGGTGAGGAGGATAAGCATCTTTGTTCTGATGCTGGAAAAATGATAATAAACATTAGAAAAAGTCCTGGTGAGTTAGTTTTCATTCCAACATGCATTTCAAATTTCTGGCAGCTGCCGTTAAATGACTTTTCTGCTTATCTTCCATGTTTAGCTTTATTTTCAGACTTTAGAGGAGTGGACTTTGTCTCACAATTGTTTTAAAAAAAAATCTATATTCCAATTCCAAACAGCTGAGGATATGACAACTGAATGTATTATTATCTGCACTCTTTGGATCTATTTAATCAATGCTTGTTTCATTTTGTGGAACTTGTGGAATTCTTAATTTTTCTGCTTTTAAACTCTTACTTTTTAATGCATTATCTTTGAATTCTCTTGTACACAAAATGTGGTGTACAGATACATCTGCCTTGCTTTGCCTGGCTCCACTTTCTTTAAAAAACTCCAATGCAATAATTCAAATGTAAATTTTACATTGAACAATCATGACAAATAATGCAATTTAACGATTAAACAGAATAAAGTCTCAAAACCACCTGCTCAAACTTTTCTCCCTCTGGAGTGATGATGAGGTTGAATTGGGATTAGTTCAGATAAATAAAACAAAATAAACTAAGATAAGTAAACATTTTTACCATCGGGTAAGTAATTAGAATTTTATAGTATTAAAAAAATTATTTATTATTATTATTAGATGATGCGATTTCAATTTAGGACATTTTATCAGCAAACTGACATAGAATAATGGCAGAATCTAAAGCATATGTCCTCAGATCAATAGTTTAATTGGATCTGAACATCTGAATCATTACAACAAAATCTGAGGACATCAGAAGTAAAAAAAACAAAACAAAAACATTTCCATTTGTTTCTAATGGACCCTACTCACCTGGGCAGTTGATACCGAAACCTCTGTGAGACTCATCATTAGCAGAATTACCCCGACGGTCTTCATACCAGAAAACAGCTCCATCCTCTTAAACCTGCTCCTCAGAAACTCTGCCGTGAGTCCTCAGCTCCTTCCAGATCTCTGTTTCTTTTCGAGAGCTCGTGCCAAATTTCTCCTCCACGCTCTTCCACCCGTCCTCCACCTCCCTGTCAAGCATTTCGGATTCGGGGAGGAGGAGGAAAAAAAAGGAAGAAGGCAGCACCGACCACATCTGGAACATGCTTTCACTGTTTTTATTTTAAATCCGTGAACATTCCCAGAAATAGACTTTCAAATTATAAGGATAAGTAGATTACCAGTGGTAGCCTTTAATCATCACCCACAAAACAATGCAGCTAAATTCTGACGACTGTTTCACTTTCCAGCTGTGGAATGCGACTTCTGCTCTAATTGCGGCGGCTATAAAGTCTCCGTTTCGTTTTAAAATCTCGAATCCTTTC